ATTGTGACGTGCGCTTTGCAGCTGCCAGTTACAAGGAGTGTAAGTCTCGACCGCGAAGGAGGTTGACTCGGATCCGCGTCCTCCGATGGGAGAGGAAAATGGACGATTGTTATTTGGCCAGCGGGCCTGTTGTCGCGGTCGCGTGCGGCATTATTATTTTCAGAACGCGGAGTGACGGCTGCTTTCTGTATCTTTCTGTATTTTACGCTCACTGATGGAGAAGAATGCGCGGATGCCGAGAGGATAACTGAGGAGGGAGCAGCTGTGGAAGCGCTGGAATCGCAGGTCGTATTATCCTTCTCATTTACATCAGCGGGAATGGAAGTGCCGCTGTTAAATGAATCTCTTTTCCAACTGAGAAAGTTATCATTGTCAATCGAGAGGCGAGCGGGGCGAGGACGGGGAAGGCGCCATCCCATGGAACAATGCGTGGAGGACCCCGGTGACGAAATGTCCCGGAAAGTGAGGCTCCGGAAGAAGCCCCGGCAACTGACGAGGATACCGGGTTGGTGGGATGAGACGTGAGGATCTCAAAGCCGGAGGAGCCAAGAAGCCAAAGGAGCCCCAGATGCGGCCGCTTTTTGAGTTTCCCGCAAGGACTTTGCGGTTCTCGGTCGATTAGGGCCACGCAATTAGCCAATTTTCGACCAATAGAAAATTACGAGAGGGAGACGGGCGATCGCCTGCGTGTGTTCTGTGAGGGCGCAGATAATCATTTACTGTGGTGCGCTCGTTCTGGACGGACGTGAATCCGAGGGCCGTCAACCTGCCGAGAGAGAGTAGCCAACGTAGTTAGTGAGCCGAGCGTTCTTTTGTAAAGCCGTCACTTCCGTCGTCACGCGAATGACGGGCAAATCGAACGAGCGTCGCGGGAATGCCGATAGCGCAAGTTTATGTAAGTGATAACTAGTGTAACGAACCAAGTGCCCGTGCCTGCGATGGTCGTGACGATCGCCTGCCATAGAGGAAAATTCGGACAACGTTTCGTCTTCCAGCGACTACGTTAAGTCACCCGTTAATGTACTCTTGCCACTTGTAATTAGTGTACGCAAGATCTCTTCTTACCGTTTCAACGGCTCTTAACTGTTGTATCGCGCTGTGAAACTGCGTCACATCTACGTATTGAATCGTTGCGGCGATTGTGTGTCGTTTCAGAATAAATTCGTGTAGATTTGAATTATCGTTGGCGTGCGATTTCGCTATTGCCATGCTGTTTGTTGTTGTGCATGTGACGGTACCCTGCTTTCAATCGAACTTAGCTTGTTGCATACTTTCGCGTGTGCGTGTTGTTGTTCGGGCTGCGGATTGCCGCGCGCTTATTAATGCCTTATTTGCGTCAATCTAATTATTTGCGCTGACTAATTGCATGTCGAAAATTA